CGTGTTCATGAAAAACCTCTTCTTTTCCAAAAAAATCTATTTAACACGAATATTTAATCGAAATAAAAGCAGTCTCCGTTTATTACGAATCCACGTGTCATCTTCTAAACCTAACCTAACCTAACCTAACCTAATTCTTTTCCTCTTTTCAAAAAACTCGTTATTCATCTAAATTAATCTTTATTAACTATTAATCTTTATTTCTTCCAGAATTTTTGAGAATACCTGGCCGTTAAGTCCGTTCAAGGAGCGAGTCCTGCTGTCTCGAGCCGAGCGTGCATCTTTCGGCCGATCGTTAACGAGAGCTTCCAACGATGCAATTAAGGCGAATCGGCAGGTGGATCGAGAATAGGATCGTTCGGTTGACCCTTGCACCCTGACTCCTTTTGACCCGCGTTTCGGCGACGAGTGTGCAAGTTACATGCCTTCATAAAATCCCGTTTACGACGGGCTAGATTTCCGGGATGTTGATAATGAGGCGGCTGCACGCATCACCAGTCCTGAATACTGTGTATCCCTCGCGAGTTCATCCACACCGCGAAAATGTTCGTAAATTACGATCGTTAAGAAGCGCCGTTTCCCTTTCTCGCGTTCCCTCTTTTTTACTTTTATTCCTTTTTTTTTTAACGCGCGTAGAGGATCGAACGAAAAAGTGGAAAAAGCCACGTTTCACGTTCGACGCCGACTTGGTTTCGATGCTCGTTTCGCGGTTTCCTCGTCTTTTCATGATTAACTCGAGTCCAACTTTTTTTACTACAATAGGAATATTATTTTATCGGTTTATAATTTAGTGTTTGTCGCGAAATCTTGTCGAAGTAATGTTAAAAAAAAAAGAAAAAAAACATTCATTATCAAGATAGTATCGAAAATAAGATGGCCTGCAGTAGTAGAGCACGCAAGTTTTGGTTAGTCAAGGATAACGCGACTATACTTCGTGCAAGAACGTTCCTGTTACCTCATCATATCCCTTGAAACTTACTTAACTTCAGGTGCTCGCCAAACTTGAAAAATAGAGTTCAATTTGATCGTTTCTTTCTTCTCGTCAAAATTAACTAAAATCCATCATTTAAATAATAATCTTTTCCGTTAAATTTAAGGGTTAATATCGCATAATTATAATGATCTAAAATAATCAAGAGGAATAAAAATCGATTTAAATAAAATTGCTTTGCTCGATCTCTCTAAAAAAAAGAATAACCTTTTTCACAGTAGTCTTCGATTGTTCTCAGTCGTCGAAAAGACGATCACCGAAAAATGACCGCAGCAACGGTCGGATAATTGGCACGACGATCCATGAAAACCGAAGTGGTAAGTAATGAATCGACGCTAATGCGCGTTGCAATAATTTCTCTATATTAACATCGTCACCAACGTTGGAACTGCTCGTTGCACCTGCGTTATCAGATTACACGTGCAGCTGCCTCCTCCTCCTCCTCCCCTCGACTGGAATCGCGCCGCCACATTTTACGAGCAGTTTATACGCAACGCACCGTGCCTCCACCGCTAAATTATTGTATCTAAGACGACGTGAAAGCTTCGATCCGTATCGTACGACGAAAATGATGATTCGCACCTCCTCGGTCTCTCCGCGGTTCTGCTTATATCTGTGTGTAACGCGTAAAATGTATCGTGACTGTTACGTTTCGGGATTTTAGCGGGATCTCATTTTATCATTTTCGAGCGAAAGGATACATAAAAAAGGAGAGAAGGATGGTTGAAGAGAATTTTCAAAATGGGATTAATGGGATTTTCAATGGGGGGTTTCATATCAGGGCTTCTTGCCAGTAACAACAATCTTTGTAGATAAGGAAACTAGTCTTCCAATTTTTGTCCGATAAATTTGAAAAAAAGTCCTTGTTGAGATTACAATACGGTATTTATTTATTTATAGCAGATCAGAAGATCCGATTGTTCAAAGGTTATCTATTCTACTTTATTTTAAGCACGGCTGCTACTTTGTATCATTGAATCTCGCCTACCTATCTTTCTTTTTTCTTTTTTTTTTTCGCCTGTTCCATGTAAAATACGACGATAAGATCTCTTCAAATTTCCATAATTCAAATCTCTGCTTTTGCTCCTCTTGCAATTTCTATTTATATTGGCTTCTCGATTTTTTTCCCAAATTTTTTTCTTTCTTTTTGAGATATCGAAATATTTTTGTCAAATTCAAAGAATTTCATTGATAATAAAATAAAAGAAGAAAGTGAATTCGATTGGATCGAAGAGAATGATGCAGAGAATGTAAAAAGAGAGAAAAATAATAAATTCGAATTACTTTAGCTTCAGCGATATAAGAGAAAATGCGAGAATTTATCCCCGCGAAAGCACAATCAACAACGAGGCTTGCATAGAAAAATGCAACGGCGCGAACCTTTTTGGGTCACGGAAGCTGCAGCGAGAAATTCACGCTTACAAAGTGCACCGACCAACTGAAAAACCCTGGGCGGTTCCATAAAATATCTAACGAATGGTGCATCGTCCCTCTCCATCCGCCCATCTTTTTCTCCCTTACTTGGTTGAGGGACGCGTTATGAAAATGCATCCGTCAAGCCTGATATTTCACCAACCCGATACGAGTTCGAGATGCCGCGACGTCCAGATACGATAAACTTGAACATCTGCGAATCGATTACCATATTTTTTAAACCTTTGAGAAACCTTTGTCTTCTTGAGAGAAACGTCGCGATAATGTAGGATGAAATGCAAGATTTCTCAATCGAAAAAAAAAAAAAGAATTTCGAGATAAAATTAAAATTATCGACAATTTTTTTTTTTTATCATTTAATTATTTCGCGTAAATGGAATATAAATTTCAAAAAAAAAAAAAAATATTCGAACGAACACGCGATTACGATATATTTGTTTTATAACCTGTTTTGAACCGCGATCATCACAAATTTCGCGCTGTAAATTGCGCCAAAAAAGGAAAAGGAAAACCGATCCAGCGACTCTTAATCACCGTGGCGCGGCAAGATTTAACGGAGGAGAGAATCCTCGTTGACACGTTCTCGGATAAATGTCGAGGAAGGGAAGGAAAGCGGCGTAACGGAGTATTTCCAAATCCCCTGACGTCCCCCAGCCGAGTATCGACAGGAGAGCGATGCCGATGATAGGGCCTGGCCCGTAGATGTAGCACGAATTTCGTGACCTGGATAGCGAGCAGAAATGGAGGAAAGCTTCTCTCGCGTTAACTATTCGACGTAAAATTTCTCTTTTTTTTTTTTTTCCTTTTTCTTCGATATACGTGAAAAAAACGAACGAATTTCGTATGTCTTGCTCACTTATAATTGCTGTTTCATAACATTTTTTTCGAAAAAAAATATCAATTTCAATGCAATCCCTTTGGTCATACTTTTTATTGCATATAATGCAAAATTTTTTTCTCTGTAAAATAATTCGATCTGTTTGCGATGTTAAAAAAAAAAAAAATTGCGCGAAGAACTACGAATTTTTGTGAATAGTTCATCGAAATATTCGCAATTGATAAAAACGAATAAATCGTGCGTTGTATTTAGGAAAAATATTCTTCTCGATAATCGCCGAAGTTTTTTTTTTTTTTTTTAAATGTTTTTCCACTGCTTAAGTTTAAACAAACGACGGAATAAAAAAAGTATCGAGGGATAAAAGATGGATTAATTTTCAAAATGCTTGTAGTATCGCGCTCGTCCTTTGACTTTTTCCTGCCTATTTTGCCACGAATCCCCGCGAAATGATGTTAACGTTCTACAAATTGGAGAGCGGATTGTCGAACGGCAAAGTTTTATCGACGTGTATTTCGTAATTCGCGAATAATCGCGCGATGTATCAACGATAATATCGGGTCATACTACTCGGGGAGTCGGCAAGATTAACTGGAAATTATGAGAATATATTCACGTGGCGAACGGCTTCGTAAATTAATTTGCATCTAACTCGACGTTACCGGTGCAATAAAACACGACAGCGCCATGCGGCCAACTCGTGGGAATCATTAAAACGGACATGCATTAATGCGAAATTTAATTGGAATAGGTTCGACGAGAAATTAAAATATTTATTAATGAAAAAGAAGATGAGAGATGAGAGTGGAACGAAAGAAAAAAAAAAAAAATACTTCTCGATCGATCAGTTTCTCAATTATTTTGTAGAAGATTGTCAAGGATTGTCGATCGAGGAAAGTAAATTTCATCCAAACTTAATGTCATATAATATTCTCTACAACATATTGCTTTTTATCAATTGATGTATATTTCTTGCCAACGTGTTAAATAAACGAGTTCAGTCAACTTTATTATTTTAATATTTCACGAAGCCACGTTTGCCCTCGATTTTCTTTAATCGACACGATAGACTCTGATCGCGTTAGAACTTGGCAATTTTACGAGGATCGACAGTACCTAATGACCATCCAAGGAAGGAAGGAAGGAAACGACGACGGGAAAAGTCGACTAATTTGCATGTCTATCGGTTTTGTTCCACCGTTGTTCGATCGTCTCATATAATAAAATCATTTTGATTCGCTTTTCATTTACGTGATTTTTACTTACTTACGAAATATCTCGACAAACACCGTTAAATATGAAAACGATAATTATAAAAAGAAACGGAAATACATTTACAATTACAGGAACATATGTGTAATAAGAATATTCGATACACAAGTCTCGTTTCAGAAGAACGGAATTATGAAGGAATATCGGCCATCGTGAGTAGCGAACGATCATCCTTAAAAGCAGGTAAGTAGAATCGGCGGTGTACCGAAACGTTGCGTGCGAGCAACGTTCCATCGTTGTTCCACAATGGCCAGGATATTACGACAAAATGGGCAAGTCGAGGTTTCTTTCTCAACCGCCTTTCCAGCCGTGTCGCCAGTTGCAAACGAGGTCAATGTTTACCACGACGAAACATCCGAGTGAGGAGGCGCGGTTAAACCGCTATATATATATCTATGTGTGTGTGTATTATACACTCCTCGAGAAATACGATGATAAATATTATACGAGATAAGGAATTAATTCAATTAGTTTAAATAAACTACTAGCGTATAAACAGATAATTACAGTTCACGTTACGATGGTACTTTTCTCTCGAATTTATTTAATTTCGATTCTTCGTTCAAAACAAAATCTCTGTAACTAATTCGCAACGCGTCACCAGCCAATTCGAATCGATCTACAAAGCGAAAGCTCGGCAGAAGTCTGGTTATCTTGTTGCGCGTCAAGTAGAAAGCTCGACGATTGTTCAGCCGGCGACAACCGTTGCTCGACGGCGCACGCCATCAAGATCGCCACAAATCTGCGACAAATCGTGGCCCGGCCATTCCAACATTCGATCTGGCTTTCGCGAGGTGGAACGCGGCTGGCTCGCGACAAAAATAAAATAATTGCGACTCTCCCGTGGTAGGCTTCGTGGACCAACTCTATCTCTCGTTTCCATCCATCCTGGATTCCCGTTGTGTTCCTCTTTTTCCTTCTTTTTTCGTCTCTCTGTCCCCGTTTGTTCGAAGGGTTAGTGGAGAGCACGGGGAAAACCCGCAACGACGGTACAGTTCGAGCGTGGAACAACGGGGATAGATAGATGGTGGATGATGATGGCGACTCTCTATACGCGCCATTTCTAATACGTCTGGACGTAACTGGACGTCATAGGTACGTGAATGGAAGCTATCGTTAGAATAACTCGATCTCAAATTCTATGGATGGAGAAGAATGATTCGTTCGAATTTTTTGGCAATGCATGTTGTGACCAAACTTGGTAAAAAAAAAACTCGATTCGCGTGAATTCTTATTTCTATGGATATTCGATATGAATTGTGCTGAAACTTCGCGAAGTATAACAGAAGGAGGAATAAATTGTAGTATTATTGACAAGT